GTTTTTGTTGTGGTGGTGATCTTTGGTTAGGATTTAGCCGAGCACTACTTATTCTAGGCATTTTTTTAGGCATTTTTTAGTTCCTATTATAAATAATAAGAATTTTATGAGTTTTGTTAGTCAGTTAATACACGAATACTAAATACTTCAATTATTCTTCAAAGTATAAAACATAATGGATAACACAATGATTACTGTAATATATGATTCATATTATTATTGGTGGTTACATCAGTTTATTTAGGCTTATAAGAGAGAAGTTTCTATAAACATTACAAAATTTACAAGGTTTTCTACATCCTTGCTATAAACTTTACTCTTCTTGCCTTAACTTGTCTGATTTTCTATATTTACACAACCACTAGTTTTAGCTTATCTACCAGAAACCCAAGTGATGACCTAGCACGTCAGTGACATTAACCACTTGCTCCTCAAGTGATTGAGTTCTCTGCTCAAGACCTCCTGTGTGCTCCTCGTTTCTCGAGGTTTGATTGTATAACTCTAACTCTGCAATCCTTGCATCATGAGTAATCATATCGTTATAAGAAAATTTTATATGATAATGGACATCCATCACTGATTCCTGATCTCGCATCCTTTGTCCTTCTAGCCTTCGTACTCTTCCAGAGAGATGAGTAGCCCTTCCTTCAACAATTTCCATCTTATCTTCAATTTTCACACTTTTCTCAAACAATTGAGATAAGGTGTTAACTTTAGAAGAATGTGGGGGATGTGGTCGAGATGATTGACCAGTCTCATACATCTTAGCAGCTCTTTCTTCTGCCACCTACCTATCGATGGTTTGGGCTATTCGTGTAGGTTTATCTTGAACTCTACGACCTCCTGAAGACGTTGCCTTCTAATTCTTCTTAATCCTTTTCCATATTGGTACGGATTTGCGTGTTGTGCGTTTCATCTTTGCTCCTCCTAGAACTTGACGGTAAAGAGTGTTCATTGGTGGTAAAGATGATGCTACTAATTCCGTCTACTCCATTGGTTCGCTCTCTTCCATTGGTTCGTTCTCTTCCCATTCATTGGAAGGTAAAGGTGCTCCATCGTCAGAAGGTATTGGATGAAAGGTGGTTGGATTTATAGGGTACTAAGGATCACCTATCATCACGGGGAATCAAAACTTCCTCTTCTTCATCCGTATCCTCGATGATTATCCATTCTCGTGAATGTGCCATGTCGAATTCCTATACATTTTGGATCACCAAGAGTTTAGTCTATCAAATATTTCTCCCAAATTAAATATTTTATATGATCTGATCATAATAAAATGTAGTTGCGCACCTACACCTAGTTATGATAGGATCTATGCACATATAAACTTTAGTTGGAATATTTAATCTAAGGGGTTGTTTGGTAGCCTCTTAATTGAAAAATTAAGAGGCAACCTCTTAAAAGTTCAGATTTAGAGTGTTTGGTTGGATCTTATTTTTTTGCCTCTTAATCTTAAATTGCCTCTTAATCTTTCAGATATAAGATTGTATCTGAAAAGAAAAATGAAAGGCTCGTTCCTATTTTACCCCAGACATGTTCCTCCTCTTTTCTATTTCACGATACGGCTTCTTCCAAGCCATCTCCGACGACCTGCAACTAACCAGTCACCGCCTCCACCTCCTGTCCTCTGATCCGGTCACCGCCGCCATCCCATTTGAATCCAGCTCTGTCAAAAGTCGAAGATAACATCATCAGGTAAGGTTTATCCTAAAATCGATTTTATGTAATCGATTTAAGAATTCTATTTCTTCCTTCCTTCGTCGGCAAAGCTAGACCCATAACCTCCTCCCGTAGTCGATGCGTTTTCCACCGTAGTTGTGTTCGCTTCCGTCTTCCCCACAACCACCGCCCTGGAGAAATCAATTTCTAGGTTTTACATCTGCAATCGATTTCCAGGTTTGACGTTCGTTTCTCTATAAATCAGATGTTTTGAAACAAATTTTGATATCTTGCGTTATTGATTATGTGAATAACATCATGATTTTGATTTTGGATTCAAAATTTCTGAATTTTTGGTGCTCTCTTTGATTGAATTGATTATGTAAATAACATTAATAACATAATGTTGTTAATTTCATCATAAATTCCATCAGATGCTTTGCACTCAAAGCTGTCGACAGAATTGATGCACATCTGCTCTGAATATGAAGCAATTAGGAGCTTGGGTTTGACCATTTTAAAAGGTGTGAGAAATGTTCTTTATTCTGTTATTTTATGAGCATCTGCTCTGGGATTTTTTTTTCTTTTTGGTGCTATTTAATGCAAAATTGGTTGCAGATAATGAGTTTGCTTCTTTTTCCTCTTTTGTTTGTTGTGAATTTATAAATTTAAACTTATGATTGATTATATTATGGCTTAGGAATCTGAGATTGAGCAGCTAAATACGGAACACTTGCAAGAACATATATGCTAAAAGATCATTATGGATTTCAAGGGTTTAATGTTCATTTCTAGCATCCTACTTTCAAGGAAAGATCATTTATTATGTTTTGATGGTAAATGGCAGGTTTTGAGTGTTTTCAAGAAGTTGAAGGATAGTTGATGATTGTTTAGATTTGTTTTAATGATTGTTTAGATTTGTATAGATTGTTTATATTATTATTTTTTATAATTATTTTAGAAGTTTTTAACTCGGTTATTTTGATAATTTTGTAACAAAAGTATTGAATTTAAAAATAATAATAATAATAAAGAAGGGTAAAATGGTCATTTTATAATTCAGGACAACAATTCAGAGGTTCCAACCAAACAGCATGTAAAAAATTCAGATCTTAAAAATTCAGACCCTCTTAGAAATTCAGACATCTTAAAAATTCAGAACTTAAAAATTCAGATCCTGCCAAACAGCCCCTAAGTCCTTGAGATCAAAAACATTTCGGGTATTAAGGTGTATTCTCATCGCAGGTCTGAGTCTTTATATATTATTGTATTCACGCTTTAATTATTGTTTGTTACTTCAGGTCTATCTGATAAGGCACTGGCCAATCAGGATAGTCGAAAGGGCAAGATAATTTTAGCATACAGCCGTTCTGGAATCCAGCAACCCAAATCAACATGTCTATCCTATCACGGCTCCTGTAAGTAGTCCTTCAGTAGAATAATCAATAATACTTTTTATTATAGGCTAATGGATATACCTAAATCTAATAGAGTAGGCCCTAGACTATAGACGTGATTTCCTAAGAAAGTACTAGTTCACTATAGTTAATAGCTCTGATACCAATCTGCCACACCTCGACCGTCGGCGGAAACATCGGGTAGTGTAACGTCATTCTTCGTATCACAGTTATATAACATACATTGAACAGTACTAAAGAAAATACATGATTGAAAGTTACATTATTGTTTTCCTAGTACCTATTACATAATATATGTCTATGGCATACTTCTTAATGAACAGAAAGATAATAGTAAAACTTCTCCTGTTCGAATACATACCAACTTTTCAAGTTCCTGAAAACACATGCATTTTAAAATACGTCAACATAAAGCTGGTTAGTCCACAGGTTTTGACTCCATATAAAAATAATACATTTTCCAAGTTCAAAAGTATAGTTTTGAAAGTATCATTTTAACTCTCCAACGTTTAGTATATATATCAGGTATAATATTCTACTTATCAAATAAGTGTTATACCTAAAAGTTTCTTGAACCTAGGGTATAAGTAGGGGAAAACTTATACTTAACATTAATACTTTTATACGACGAAGTATAATGTTTCTAACAAATTGCTACCATGAGCCTGTAACCGCTGCTATAACACAATACCTCTGATAAAACACACTCATGATTTCCATGAGAAACAATACACTCATGATTTCCATGAGAAACAATACCATACACTTCATCGATGCCGGAACAATAACAAGTAAAATGATAGTTCATCACTCGCTTATGGTTGACTGTAGCTAACAATCACAAGTGGGGTTGTCAACCCATATACTAATTGTACACGACTTTTTCACTCACACGGGATTAACGGTTACAGTTCAGAGGATTTCCACTAAGATCCCCAATCTTAGTTAATGAATACAATTACTCATTTAGACTTCAACGAATTCCTATAGCTGTAACAACAAAAACATTTTCATGTCTAAAACCCTAAGTTACTAGACTATACTTTTAAACATTACTCCTAACTTCATAACATTTATGCAGTATAACAGCTATAACTTGAAGTAAAACCATGTTTTATCTTTACATAAAACTAATAACAACAACAACATATAACATAACAAATTTTATATTAACATAAAACCAAAAATAACAACGTACATAGTTTTTAACATGTAGAACTTCCGAATATAACTTCAGAACTATATCACACACAACATATATAGAATCTTAAGTATAACTCAAGATCTACATTAATATATTTCTATAACAATAACATGCTGTGACATCCCCAAAATCTCGGTCAGAAAAGACCGATTTTCATTTATGCTTTTAAAATAATTTCAGAGTAAATCCATTTGAATTGAAAGAATTGCGGAATTTGTTCCCAAAAACAAAACATGATAAAACAATGTTTACCAAAGCATTTCATAAAAGAAATGTATTTTTTCATTATATAATCAAAACTCGGGGTGTCATGTTCCGATATAGACCAATAAGCATAAACGATAACATTACAAGTCATTCAACAAATATATACATACACAGACTTGTAAACAAAACAACTTGATGGTTCATCCATCTAACGCCCTTGCGCCACTTCCTGTAATACAAATAAAACTGAGTGGGTCAGGCTTGGGAGCCTGGTGAGCATATAGGGTTTTCAACCCACAATAAATAATTAAATTAATTATTATCAACCAACAATAACCCAGTTACCCATTCCCGTTATTCTCACTTTATGTCCCTAAAATAACTAACACAAGGGACCTAATCTAAGAATATTTTCATCGGGGTGACAACACATGCTGCGGGGTTTCCTCAGCAATATAAGTCAAATAAGGCAACCATGAGGGGGATGGAATACAGCGAATGAACACCCAAGTTCATTAACACCTACAGGTTATGAGCCTGCTAGCGTTCCACTGGACTGTCTAGAAAAGTCCGTGGTCGTCATCTAAATTCCGCTAGATGACTGGATCAAAACAACAACGAGGCCTCTCATCTGTTTATTACACACCAACTATCTACCCATGTTCTACCCAACATATTAGTAGATAAAAACATACATTTTTATACATATTTTCAAAACCTGTATAGCATGCTTGATCAATACATTTTCCATATAACAGATGAGGCACACACACATAACACGTATTTCATATAGAAATAATCATATCTGTAAGATAGAAGAAGTGAATATACATTCACACACATAACAACAAAATATACACATAACACGTATCTCGTATAAAATACTTCATAGTTATACGTTAGAGAAAGTAACAACGCATTCACACGTATAAACGACAATAAACTTAATACCTCAAACCATACTTGTATTATTATTGCGTTTATGAAAGGTAGTATACACTCACATGATCAGAAGATGATCGGACAGCACTACGACTCGCAAAAGTAATAATCCTCAGCAGATCTGGAAGATCTCTACGAAAATCGAACTTCTCGCGGGCAGAGCTTTGGCTCGGAAACCGCACTTCTCGGGATCTTCGGGATCTCGGGACTCGCTTCGGGACTCGGGACGGGATAGCTTCGGGGGTAAAAACGCAGAGCTTCGGCACAAAAACGAGAGGAAATTAGCAATTAAACCCGGACCCCTCGCATCCTATTTATAGGAGGCTGGAAGCCCGAATTACGCGGGGCGTACAACAGTACGCAGCGCGTACTGCCTCCGAAATGCATCATCGCATGCGTCATCCGAAGTGTCGACACTTTGGCTGTACGCGGGGCGTACTCGAGTACGCGGCGCGTACCTCGGATCAGATCTGTGACTCCCCCTTCGAATAATGCCAGATTTTTGATTTAAAAATAAATACAAATTATTTATCAAACTTCGGAAATTCATATCTTCTTCATACGAACTCCGTTTTTGAAGTTCTTTATATCCACGGAAAGGTGAGACTACGCTCTACAACTTTCGTTTAGACTCCGTCGGCTAATTTTGACTTTATTTTTATTATTTATTTTTAATAGGCCGGGACAGAAAATTTCGTTATAAATTCATAACTTCTTCGTTTGACGTCCGTTCTCGCATAACTTTTTATCGCTTTGATACTAACAACGAGATCTTCGATTCTCGTTTAGATCACTATGGCTAAATATCGCTTTAACGCAAATTTCACTTTTTACGTTAATCAGCGTTGCCGGTTCTGTCGCGAAACTTCGACAGGTCATAACTTCCTCGTTATAACTCGGATTTCGACATTTTTTATATCTTCGGAAACCTTTTTTCAACTACTACAACTTTATCTAAAGATATCAAGTTTATTATACACTTAAATTTTTGACGCTTATTTTTATTCTTAATTAATCAAACCACATAATTAAGCAATTAAGCACAAAACACATAATACTCAAATAATACACTTATATTATTTCAAAACGGGTTACAAAGGTTAACCTAGACCATTACATTGCTAAAAATGGCCAGCCCAGAAACACAGGCGTTACACATGCTAACAAGTTGACAATAGTTTTATATATTCAAAATATTATATTTTGACCAACTATATCCCGGTTAATATGACTATCTACGTTGATACTAATATATCCTCATATAGACATAATAGTAATGTATATACAATAATTAGCATGCGTTTTCCTCTCAAAATATTAGAAAGTGGGGCCATGAAACTCACCCTAGTAGTGTGATTGTATGTAACCTAAGCATAAACGGTTAGTGGTACGAGGTCGTCGGGGCTCGGGATGCAAGAAGGCTTCAACAAATGAGAGAAAGAGAAGAGATTTTGGGGTGAGAAGAGCTGAAGTCGGACCTGCTATTTATAGGCTGTCCAAGCCAAGTCCACGTCATGGACTTAAGGTTCACGTCGTGGATAATGAGCTGAATCATGTCGTAGACTTGCCATTTACGTCCTAGCTTTCGATGGTGTCATGATTCTAGCTTTACGTCGTGGCCTTTATGCTCACGTCGTGGGGATTCAACACGTGTTTTCTAGCTCCGAAATGTGTCTTGGACTACTTTCACGTCGTGAATTTAAGGTCCACGTCGTGAATCCAGACAACTAGGGTTTTCTGCCACGTATCATGCTCTCTGACAGCTACAACTTCGGAAGGTCGTAACTTTTACATACGAACTCTATTTTCGACGTTCTTTATATGCACACGTAGGTAATTACGAGTACTACGACTTTATTTTAGACTCCAATAGCTACTAGTTAGTATATTTTAAATCCCTCTTATTATAGAGATTTGTAGTGCTCGGTTTATCATAACTTCTTCATGAGAAGTCAGATTCAGACATTCTCTATATCTTTGGAATCGTATGGGCATGTACTTTGAGATGTATTATAAAGAAAGTTCATATTTGTATTAGAATTTATCATGAACTACATAGTAATCACATTACATGATTGGCATAATCACATGTGATTGTTATTGACCTATTTTG